CCTATAGACTGTACTATTGAAAAAAATCTGTAGTTAGCTCTCTTTTCTTATTGTCATGGATGGAAAATGTTCGTCTAATGCACTATTTTTTTTCAAAAGTACCCATTTTACCCTTATATCTATCAGTTTAGGTTATTTTTGGTTTGAAGGAAAAAAAGTAGGGAAAGGAATGGAAAAATAGGGAAACCATTACAAATCTTGTATAGATTTCCTTACCTTTCCCTACCTTTTCCCTCAAACCAAACATAACCTTAGATGAAAATTTACTAAAATACCTCCCAAAAAAATCACTATTAACTAAAAAAAATCTCTGAGTTAGTGAGTTGCATTGAGAAGAATGAAGGAATTTTACTCAATAAAAACATTAGGTCTAGTGAAGTTTAGAAGGGCAAGTCTGGTATTTTTGAATTACATTGAAAGATGCCCTAATAAATTGTGAGGGTAATTTTATAAATTTGAAGTTTTCATTAGTGAAACAAAGATGAAAAGGGAGGAAACTGCAGATTTTTGATAAATTACAGCCTACAAAGGAGGTTCTTATGAAAGTAGAACCTCGAGGGAAAGTTTTTTGCAATTGGCAAAAACTTTAAGGGAGATTTTTATATTTTACCCATAATGGGGGAGATATTTTAGGTAATTTATATAAACAAAACTACAAAAAAGGGGGTGATGGGAGAAGAGAGGGGTGGTGAAGGGTACAAATCACCACCAGATGGTTGCCCCAGCTCCCTTTATGTAGTATAGTATGTATACCACCAAAATTCAAGGTGGGGGGCGAAGACCGAGACTGTCTTTCTTTTTCCTTCCTCGTGAAGAGTATAAAAAAGCCTTATGCCAATAAGTAGGCTTATAGTTGTCATGAATATGACTTGATTATCTATCAAGTATCAACCAAATTAGAATAATTATATGAATGAATTGATTGATGGTAAAGCAACATTAGATTTTTCTTTAGACGCGCTTCACTAGTCACTGATCACTACACTACAATTTCCAGCTTATTGTCCGTTTTAACTTTCAACTACACAAAAGACAGAACCAAACCTTTTCTTTATTTCCTCGTAAAACTAACAACTTTTTCTATTATAACTTAGAACGGCAAAACTCTCCCATCCCCTGTCTGCCCTCCATACACGCATTAAAGTCACCAACCTACCTTGAATTATTTTCAACCGTCAGATTTGTGCTGTTACCAAGATTATGACATAGTCGAACCTTACGTCAATGCATGGAACAGGAATTTTCGTATACTCTCTCATTCACAAGTCATTAACTGAAGAGATTTTTATTATTTCTGAAATTAAGATTTGTCTTTTCTTTTTTATCAAATATAAATGAAGCAAAATACATGACCAATCAATGATAAGATATCAAGTTATAATTGAATTTTTAACCTTTTAAAAACGAAAATTGTCTAAAATTCACCATGAGTTTTCAATATTTCTCTTAAATTCATCATAACTTTTCAAAGTGTCTAAAACTCACCATGTCACTAATTTGACGTTAAACAGACTACCGGGTGTTAATTTATTACCATTTTAATCTTCATAGAAAAATATAAAATATATACAAAATAAATTAACGGAGTGTTAATATATTACCATTTTAATATTTAGACATGAAAAAAAGAAAATTTTCAAAAAATATTTTCAAATATAAAATACATAAAAACATAGAAATTACAAAAATATAAAAATTATAGAAATTGCAAACAAAATAAAAAAAAAATTATTTTCAAATTGTAGAAACTATAGAAATTGAAAAACAAAATCAGAAAATAAAAATTGTAAAAAAATACCAAAAATTTATAGATTGTAAAAAATAGAAAAATGTAAAAAAACAGAAATTATAAAAAACATTGAAAATTATAACAAAACATTAAAAATGAAAAAAAAAACAAGAAAATTGAAAACTAAAAAAGACCATTTTTCCTCTAACTCACCATTCAAGGGTAATTTGGTCATAAAAAATGTTATTTATGCTGACATGGACATTTCTGTTAAGAAGCATTAAAGGTGCACTAAGAGAAGTGAGCTTTGGAAAATAAAAACTTATTAACATGGTGAGTTTTAGACATTTTGGAAAGTTGTGGTGAGTTTAAGAGAAATGTTGAAAATTCATGGTGAGTTTTAGATAATTTCCCTTTTAAAATTTTTGATGGTAATACTAAATATAGAATCTAGATCTAGTAGGCAAGCATTTTCAGTACTTTCAATGAACATTTAACAAATATTAATTATGACAACTGTATTAAAGCTGTTTTTAATATTTTTCAAAGGCTAGGCTGGTGGTATTAATTTTAAGGGTTTGGATAATATATATACATATATATATATATAGGTATACCTTGTATCTCAGGGGTAGTGACAGATACGTATTCTAAACTTTCAATTGCAACACTTGAGTATCTGAACTCTCAAAATTGGACACTTGGGTACATCAGTTAGTGTTTCATTAGTTAAATATTACATAATGTCAAAAGTATCATTTTCGTGTATTTCTGAGTTCATTCTCAAGTAACTGAATGTCTCCCCATGATAGCATTCTCACATGAAGAGAAAATAATATATTCAAAATTTTCAACGACATCATTATCTGGTGATGATTTTACTCTACAAAATGATCTCAAAAATACATGAGAAAGGTATTTTTGACATTATGTAATGTTTAATTGACGAAATACTAACGAATGAACCCAAGTGTCTATTTTTGAGAGTTCAGGGCACTGAAGTATTGCAATTAAAGTTTAGGGTACCTATCTATCACTACCCCCAAAGTACAGGGTAGCTATCTATAATTTACCCAAAATTTTTCTATGTAATTACTCAATGTGCTCACCATGTCTGAGTACCTGATCCTTACAAGTAAATATTAAATACATGTTATTAAACACGAAAGTACATTTTGTGAAATATGAACAAATGAAAAGTAAACAAGCCATGTGATATAATTAATGTGATTGATTGTAATATTGATTCAATGTATCACAAATATTAATGAATGCAATATAATTGGACTCTTTTATTTTGGTTTTTTATACACAATGATAAATGGCCCAAATGGTTGGGCCATAAAGATTTGGGCATTTACACCACTTGAGTCACTGGATCCACCAAACAATAACCATGTAACGTCTTTAATGTGATTGATTGAAGTTTTGATTTAACGTACAATAAATATTAATGAATGTATTATAATTAAACTCTTTTTTTACATACATACAGATCATCGGTCCAAAAAGTTTGGGCCATAAAGATTTAGGCATTTGCCTTGGACTAGGGTTGTCAATGATTTGGTTGCATAATTTGGCACCAATAGGTCTAGTTTTAGTTGCTCATATATTATCCCAATTTTCATCAATTCGAAATTGGTTAGAGAGAGAGAGAGAGAAAGCCCATCAAGTCTTGGTTCTGAGTCTAAAATTACAAACCCTATTGGATTTGATCCATACCTGACCCATTGACAATCCTACCCGGGACCTTAGTCACCTGACCCATCAGACAATGTGTGTGTTGCTTTAGACACTGAATCGACCAAATATTAAAATAAAGGGGAAATTCCTCATCGGTACCTTGTACTTTAGGGGGTTGTGTCAAGTCAATCCCTGAACTTCAAAACGTGTCTCTATAGTACCTTGAACTTTCAAATTGTGTTTAAAAGGTCTCTACTCACTAACAGATGTTAACGAATAAGTGAAATGATAGCGCTTCATATATGACGACTATGGCATGGAATTTTCACGTTCAATAATGTTGAGTTTCTTCGGTATTCTTTTGCATGTCCAAGGAGCAGGAGCTTTAACACTTCGGTATTCCTTTAGTTGATTGGTGCCTAGTTTCATAACCCTTCTTCCCCTTTTCTTCCTTTAACACTTAGATGAAATGGGTAAAATGGTTAGGAAAAATACCATAAAGGGTAATTTTGTCATTTTGAAATTATTTAATGCACGCTTGCTGTCACGTGACAGTGTTGACTGACGATCAACTAACGACAATGAGTCAGTGACCTATAGGGGTGCTCATGGTTCAGAGAACTGAACCGTGGACCTATTTTTAAAACCGAACCGGTCCTACTGGTTTCTAGAAAACTGGTAACCAAAACCAAACCGAAGCTGATCAGTTAACCGTTTGACTAGTTTGGTTAATTGTAGGTTTTTCGGTTTTTTATATTTATAATATATTATAAAAATATACTAATATATAATAAAAAATAGAAATATATAAAGTATTATATTTTAAATAATATATAATATATTACGCATATTTATTAATTTATAATATATATATATATAATATAAAATATACATAATATATATAGAAATATATGTATATTGGTTGGTTCAGTTAACTGCTGATTTTCTATATTGGTTACCGGAACCAAACTAGTACCTTCGATATTTTAAAAATATCAAACCAAAATCGAATCGACCGGTTTAATTAACTGAATTTTTTTATTCAGTTTCAGTCGATTTTCGGTTCGGTTTAGGTTTTCTTGCTCACCCTTAGTGACCTATTAGACACAATTTAAAAGTTTAGGATATTGCAGATGAAGTTCCGGGACTGACTTAACACAAACAAATACTGATCACGAATTTTCTCTAAAATAAAATAAAAAAATATTAAATTTTAAGGGCAAGTTGGGCATCCAGAAAATTTGAAAAATATGAACCTAAAGCCGTAAACAGTGTTCGACACAAACCGGGGAGAAAGAAAGGAGAATGGGAGGGAGAGAGAAAACATGTCCTGAAATGTGAAACACAACACCACATGCCCTTGTACTTTTCCTTCACTTGAAAGCAAACAAAACACTGTCACTTTCCCTGCCACTCGTTTTTTTAACACTTTTTTTTTCTTCTTATTCTTCTATCCGTTTTTTTTTTCAATTTTTAAATCAATAAATTGATAAAATTCTAAATTAAGAAACAGAGGAAACAAAGCAAATCTCACTTTCTCCATGTCATTTATACCGAGGAACTCCCTTATTTTATTTCTTTTTATCTTGGTGGGGGTGGGAGAGGGGCGGGGTTTTAGCTTCTCTCGCTAGCGTTCTCTCTCTCCCTCTCTGCAAATACCCTGTCTATTTATATATTATCCATCTATATATCTATTGCTCCTGCTAATAATTTCACATACGAAATTCCTTAATGGCTCCTTAACACAAGCATTGTGATATAGGGAACGGGAAGGGTGGTTCTTCTTAACCTACGCCCCCTGTTTTTTTTTTTTTTTTTTCTTTTTTTCCTTTTCCTTTCCGGTTTACTCCCTTTATTGATTTTTAAAGGAATCCATGTCAGGGAATGAATGGCTGAAAATCCATTGCAGTTGTCTGTAAGTATTCTTACTGCTCTCTAGTTTTCTTTCTAATTTCCCTCTCCACTATAGCTTCTTCCCATTTTGTTGGAGATTTCTCTTCAGTTCAAAAAATGCGTGCAAGTTAGCGAGATGGGTTTTTCCTTTTTCTTTTGTATTGGGTCCTTGATTCGTCTTTTAAATGCTTACTACTCCTTTCAGGTACCCCATCTCTGATTTGGGTATTTTTGTTATTGCTTTAGAATTTCTGGGCTTTATAAAATTTTACAATCTTACTACTCATTTCTGTATAATGGGTTGCTGATCCCCACCTCCTTTTGTTTTTCGGTTTTCAACTTTTGAGTTTCTGAACTTCGGGTTTGCTTGTTTTGGGTTTGGTAGAATTATGAAATATCAAGATATCATGCGACGGGCTGGTGACTGTGAGACAAGTAGGAATTAGCTCGGCTGATAGTGGATGAGAAGGAGGGGAGAGTGAGAGGAAGGAGAAAGAATAGAAGAAGCAGAGGATAAAAGGCAATAGTTTTATGGACTGGGATTTGAAGACACCTTCTTGGGATTTAGCCGAATTGGAGCAAGAAGCAATCCCCAACATCGCCCCACTTGTTGGGTCTAGTAGCTTTGAGGGGCAGAAGACTAAAGAGGATTGCTCTGTTGATTTGAAGCTCGGAAGGTTGGGAGATTCTGGGGATGGGTCACTGGACAAGTTGAAGGATCCAAGGATTGCGACCATGTTGTCTTCTCCATCTGGCTCCACGAAGAGGGCTCGGACACCTGGCAATGGAACCCAGACGGTGTCGTGCTTAGTTGATGGGTGCAAGTCCGACCTTAGTAACTGCAGGGACTATCACAGGCGCCATAAGGTCTGCGAACTTCACTCTAAGACACCAAAGGTAATGGTTGGCGGTCAGGAGCAGCGGTTCTGCCAGCAGTGCAGCAGGTACGGATTAGGAATGGTTGTAGAAAGCTAGAGTTTAGTAAAGTTACTCAACATTCAACCCTTTCAATTGCCTTTATCTATGTACTTGGTTTGATTTGTCTACTTAGTGCTTCTCGGTTACAATTTAGAATGGCATATTTTTCAGTTATTATGATCAGAATCTGTTCTTAGCTTCATACTAGCAATGCCAATTGTACCAACCCAGCTTTACGTAGTTCTTTCTAGAATCCATTTTTCAGTAGAGTCATCCAATATAAACGGGAACATGAAGTTATAACCGTTGATGCTTATTGTTGCATAGGTATTCCGCAAGTGTTATTGTCTCAACTTCAAATTATGATTCAGGATTAGTAGAACGGTCTAATTTGAATGCGCAGCACTTTCATTAGGTTTTGAGGGCCAAGCTCTATAACCCTCTTGTCTTCAATATCCATGCAGAGGGTTGCACATGGTAAAATAAAAAAGATAGGAGATTTAGAGTCCTTAAGGAGATTGTATATTGCACTATAAAAAATCCAAATGATTGATTGGGTATCTCGTCTTGACAGTATATGTTGTAATTCCTAATTTGCTTTCCTTCTGATTTTATTTTATTTTATTTTTTACAAATGGATGAAAATGGATTTTATGATAATTAACTAATAACAGTATGTGCAATTTTTATGTCATATCCTTGATAAACAAGCTTTGCAGCAAGAAAAGTGAGACTACAAAATATGGAAAATATTCACATCACTTTGTGTGCATGTGTTGGTTTCTTTTGCCCTTCACTCAAGAAGGATGTATATCCTGTATGAATTTTCTTATCTTTCACGACATCTTATTTTTCACTTACTTAAAAAGCAGTTGAATATTCCTCATTTGGTCATTTTATTAAACCCTCACAAAGGATTTTTTCTTTATCTGAAAACAATTGGGTTCTAAATATCCAATTTTATATTGCTTGGTTTAAAATGAGGCTTGTTTGGCTGTTCCTTGTTCTATATGTCTCCTACAGGAAGAAATATTTCTCCAATCCCCCCTTCCTCCTTTTATTGTCACTATCCATCTTTAGTGTTATAATTCTTTCAATTGTCACTAGCAAATTGTCTTAGATTTATGAAGAATTTCAATATATTCCATTGAATTGCTACTTTTTTGAGTGGTTCCCATTGACTGGACACTTCTTTCAGTTTCAAAACTAACAGTTTGTTAACCATATTCAGTCTGTTAAGTCTTAGCTAGCATGGTCAGTTTACACAATCCTAAGGTATACATATTAGGATGTCTTCAGTGGGCTCAAGTAATGTATCCAGGGTTCAAAGAGAAGATTGATTTTGAGGAATGCAGTTTGGTTTGTTCTTCAATAGAAGCTAGCAGTTAGTAAAGAAAGGCATGGTGGTGGTGGTGTTTGTTGGATGGAGCTGAAACAAAGAGGAAAGTCCTTTGATTTGATGGTTCTATCCTCTGGATATGATCCACCTCCTTCATAAAGGAACTAGCAATAATTTTCTGGATGGAAATGAAACAAAAGAGAATGGAAGTCCTTTGTTGGTTCTATCCTCTGGATATGATATGCTTCCTTTTTAAAGGAACTAGTAATAATTCTTAACTAGGTGATTCCTGAATTATCTATTCTATTCCTTCAGCATGTGAGGTATTTCTGTGATTTCTTATTCTCACGAGTCATGCAAGGGGAGGAACTTCCAATAGTTCTTAGAGGTTTGCTAAAGCAATTTTTTTTATCTGCTACAGAATCCTGGTTGTCTTATCCATTATTTTCCTCTATGGTGGGAGACCTCTGTGGAAGTTATGCACATTTTACCCCAGTTTAGAGTCCTGCAAAAAGCAATCTTTCGTACAAGGTGCAAAATCCATACCTTGGAAATGGGACATAATACTTACATTGGAGGGGTATGATTCCTGGATTTGTTTGTAATTTCAGTGCTGCTACAAGGTTTCTTTTGGTGAAGGGGAAAAGGTCCTGTGGTCATGGTTGTGGAAGGTTCAGGTTCCTTCGAAGATCAACTGATCAAATTCTTTGTCTGGTTGTCTGTTAGTGCTACAAGGTTTCTTTTGGTGAAGGGGAAAAGGTCCTGTGGTCATGGTTGTGGAAGGTTCAGGTTCCTTCGAAGATCAACTGATCAAATTCTTTGTCTGGTTGTCTGTTAGAGATAGGATCTAGTCTGCCGAATATCTGCTGAGACGTGGAATCGAGCTGGATGCCACCTGTAGCCTGTGTGGGGAAGGATCTGAATCCTCTACCATCTTTTGATTCACTGCACCTATACCTATCAGGTTTAGTGCCATTTCATTAGGTTGTTCCACCTAGTCTGGGTTTCCCCCTCCTCTGTGGCCGATTTAATCTCGGGCTGGAGGATAAGCCGCTTCTTGGACAAAGGTTGTTTCTTGTGGAATAGCCTGCCTTTTGCAGTTTTTTGATTGGTGTGGAAAGATTGAAGGTGAGAGGTTGCTTGTGAGCTGGGCCAGGTGCTTGAAGTTTTTTTGTGGATGTGTCTGCCGGCTCTTTCTCTAATCAATGGTGGTCCATCATTTTTTGAGTTTTCTATTAAAAAGCTTTCATTGTACATGATCTGTGCATAGTTAAAGGCACACTTCTTTTTGTATATGATTGGGGGATACTCACCCTCCTTTTTACTATTAATACAATACATTTCTTACCACTTATCAAAAAAAAAATCAGTGCTGCTTGCTACAGGGTTAGAGTGGGGCATTCCTTATGATTTATGAAGTCCTTTAGCTACCCCCTTTCAAGAAAAGGATACAAACCTGGTGCTTCTGTCAATTTAGATTTATATATTATGTTCTTATGTTTCTATGCATTGGATTTCTCCTGCATTAACTACATGTTTAATTGTTTTGCTTTCCTTTTTGGCATATCTAAAGTATTGTGCTTGTTTGCTTACTTATAGGTTTCATTTGTTGGTTGAATTTGATGAAGTGAAGAGAAGCTGTAGGAAACGTCTTGATGGGCACAACCGGCGTCGAAGGAAACCTCAGCCCGAATCGTTGGCTATGAATTCTGGAAGCTTATTTCCTAAGCACCAAGGTTTGAAATCTTTCTTAGATAGGTTTATGGCTTTATTCTGTATGCTTTTCAATCATCATTCAGAACCTGTTGGTTGCTGGTTGACTTGGAACTTATATGAGTTGATGAAGTTTCAATTTGAAGCAAAAATGCAATTTAGGCTCAGTTTGGAAGGAGTACAAATACAAATTTGTAGAGTACAAAACTTTACATTTTATATTATTTTGTATGTATTTGTATTGTACATATTTGTATTTGTACTCCTTCCAAACCGAGCCTTAAAAAAATGGGGGAGTATATTTTTCTTTAAAACTTACTGATCTGATCATCAACTGGGTTGTTTACTTCAGAATGCAGTTGATTTGATGAGAATTGTGTCAGGTCATTGCACTGATTCATCTAGCATTTGAAGAAAAAACAATACAAGGCTTGTAAAGTGATGTTGCTTTTTGTTTTTTTTTTAATTTTCTTTATATATCATCAAGTTGATTTTCTTCATGGTTTATTCAACTTTAGTTTTTAGTTGTCTGAATTTGAATATTCATTCTTAGGATGGTGTCATCTTGGTGTTGATGTTAGGTGAATCAAAGAGAATGTTGCTCATAGAGAAATGAAGTTTGAATCTTATTTATTTCTATTTGTTCATTGTTATGCCTAAAAGCGAGCATTTTCTTATATGAAATACTTGTGGAGTGAGGGGAGGATGGGATATTGCTGTACTATGCCTTTTTTTTTTTTGATAAATCCAAGTGGTGCTACACAAGCCTGGGGGTAGCACATCCCCAAGAATCACTATTACATATAAAACCAAGAAGGGGAGGGAGGTCCTGCAAATCAAAATTTAAAGAGTCTGAAGGACTGAATTGGGCCTGCTGTACTATGCCTTGGCTGCATATGTTCTCTGTTGACTTGATTAATGATAATTGTATAATAAGCATTGCCATTTCTTTAGGCTGCATTTGATTCTTTGTAAAGTTCTTCAGGCTGAAATATTTCAACTATTATTTTTATCATCTCTTTTATAATGAAAGCCTAGTTTTTTTCTCCTAATTTGTCTTCATGTAATTATGTAAATGACAAGGTAAACAAAGTTTTCTTTGTAAAATGTCAGAAAATACATCTTAAACATTTCAGCCTGAAAAGTTTTCCATCCACTTTACATGGAAACAAGCATGGCCTTAAGAATTTTTTCATGTTTTGGTTATTTTCATGGACCGTCCTTGAGAAGTAGGTGGGACAGATCACAGATGGTTCCATAAATATGATGGATGTATTGTCAGGTGACTTTTGGATGATATACATAGAACACTTATTAATCATCTCCTTTATACCTGCCAGTTGTAGTTAATTTCTTCTTGCCCATCCTACAGGTACCAGATTGATGCCATTTGCTACTACGGAAATGTTTCCAACCACTGTTGTGAGCCCAGCTTGGTCTGCAGTTGTGAAAACTGAGGTAGATGCTACACGATATAACCACCAGCAGCAGTTAAACTTCATCGACAAACAAAATACATTTCCTGGATCTTTCTCTCGCAGCTGCTATAGAGGAGGCAAGCATTTCCCTTTCTTGCAAAGTAATGATGTTACGCTCATCAATCGAACTCCATCTGAAGCATCCATGTGCCAGCCGCTTCTCAATTCCATTGCATCATCAGAAAGTGAGGGTGGCCGGAAAATGTTCTCCAATGGATTAACCAGGGTCATTGACTCTGATTGTGCTCTCTCTCTTCTGTCATCACCACCAATGCAAAGTTCGGGGATCAGTATGAATCATGTGGTGCAGCCTGACCCCATCCCTATGGCTCAGCCCCTAGTCCCAGTTCTGCAATATAATGGTATAGGTCGGTACCCATGCTCACAAGGAATGGAGGATGAGCAGGGGGGTTCAGTTTTGGCTCCTGATGCTAGTAATGCAGACCTTCATTGCCATGGGGTGTTTCAGTTAGGACCTTATGGGTCAGACCGGAATGGGGGTCCGCAGACGCTTCCTTTCTCCTGGGAGTAGTCAAGATAATTCCTGTTCTTCATGGCTCTTGGAATGGCTTTAAGATTGATTATTTTGAGCATTCATTTTTTTCGTCCTTCCAGTGGATATGTTTCTAAGATGTTTCTAGCATGGTGCATATTCAATTTGGATTCTAGCTTCCTCAGTGTTGCATATACTTTCTTTCTGCATGCGCGGAGAGCTTCCTGACCTCCAATTGAGCCGTTTTGACTCTAAAATCAAATGTTCTATTAAATGTTGCACTTGTTAGAAATCTAGAGAGGCTTTCTGTTCATATTAAATTTGTGTACGGACAGTGTTTTTGGCCGTAGGCTGGGTAGCTGATTTTGTTTATAGTGCGTTATTCTTTTTTTCTCGTTGGCTGATGAGAAGTAGCGGTCAGCATTTTTGTTAGACTTAGAGCCAAAATGACAATTGTTTGGAGCATTTGGAAGGAGAGAAAAGAAAAGCAGAGATGGATTAAAACAATTCTGGCTGACATTTGTTCCATGAAGCCTGGAATTTTGATCTGGTTTTTGGATTGATTCCTGTAGTACTCCTGTCACCGTTCTCATTTTTCTTCCTATTTTCTTTTAAAATCTGAAGCCTCTTCATCTTTTACCGTAATAGTCTTATCCTTTATTTTTAATGAAATTTTATCCATAAAAAAAGGAATGGTTGGGTTGCTTAATGCTTATGGACAAAAACCCTTGGATTCCTTTGTTGATTGATTGAATTCATTTGCTTCGTAGATAGGTCGTATCACCTCACCGCTGATCGGATTTGGACCCGACTTTTGAGTTTGACGGTCCTACCGGCTACCGCTATCTTTTAGTAGCCAAGGGAAAAGGCAAAATCAGAATGTGCTACTGGTGTTGATGTTGAAGTGCCTCTTAACAACCCAATCAAATCAAATTAATGGTAAAATCTTAGGTTTGGAAAACAGTAACCCCCTTGATAACAAGCAACAACTAGTCACCTGTCTCACTAATGTTTTAAGCAATGGCCAATGGGGTGCTTAGTAGTAGATGAGGTGGTGCCGTGGTGGTCAGTGGGCCAAGAATCAATGTAGAAGATTACAACCATCTAATCTTATTGGATGGTAGAGAGAAGTTTCTTATAAACTTAAAAAGGAAAAAAAAGTTTAAAGAGATATTTTATACTTTGTACTTTGGGGTAGTAATGACTAATGATTAGGGATGGCAATTTTCCCCATTTCCCTGATCCTCCTGGGGATTCGTTCTGAATGGGGCGGGGATGGGGAAATTTTTATCCCCGTTAGCGGGGACGGGGCGGGGATGGGGAGAGCACTCCCCACCCTGCGGGGACCTTGATCCCCGCCCCGTGGGATCCTCACTAATATATATGTACATATGTATGCATACGTTATATATGTATACTTACGTCTATATATTAATATTTTTAAAAATATGGTTGAATATGTTTGAATCTTTTCTAATAGGGCTGTAAATTTTAATTATTTCATTTTTATTTTTTAAATAAAATAAAAAACAAAAACAAAATGGTTAACATTATAAAAATTACAGGGAATGGGGATCCCCGCGGGGATATGGATCCCCGTGAAGACGGGATGGGGATAACCTTGTCCCCGTTAGCGGGGACAGGGATGGGGAGAGGATCCCCGTCCCCACCCTGCCCTGTTGCCATTCCTACTAATGATCAGGTTCGAAAAAAATCTATAAGAAATTTTCTCCTTTTTTTGAATTATTTATTTTTTTATTCCATGTCATTTTTTAAAGAACCAATGAGATGCTCTCCTTCCTTGTAAAAAATTATCTAAAATCTCTCTCTCTCTCTCTCTCTCTCTCTCTCTTACCCACACTTTCCAACAAGGTCATCTCCTAAAATTTATCCTAAACTACCTCCCCCACTTTCTCCTAAATCATCTCCAATTCCTATTTATCTCCTAACTCATCTCTAATTTACTAGAGCATTTCTCTCCAAATTATCTCTAATTCCTATTTATCCTCTTTGTCACTTTTAATCTATATCTATCCAAAGAAAGTTTAAATTATAAAATTTCTCTCCATATGATCTCTAATAAACTTTAAAATAATTATTAAAAACACAAAAAATAATTATAATAGATTTAATAATATTCAAATTATTAATAGTTTTATATTTTTACAAAATTCATCACGAAATTATGTACTAACAATATAAATTATGATTTTTCAAATTATTCAAATTAAATGTTATTCAAATAATAAAAATTTAACATTAAAAAATAAAATATTATTTCAATATTTCAATAACTAAATATCTTAAATAATAAAATACTAAAAATAGCTAAATAATTATATAGAAAAGGGAAAATTCCCGATAGGTACCTTGTACTTTAGGCCGAGTGCCAATTTAGTACTTGAACTTTAAAATGCGACAATCTAGTACCCGAACATTCATTTTGCGGCAACGCCAAATTTGGCGTTTTCTGGAGCTGCAGCTTGTTGCTGCCAATAGGGACATGAGGTGGCAGTGACAGGTACATGACATGGCACTGGATAATAGGTACTAGTGTTGAAAATTTTTCTTGGAGAATTGGTACCAAACAAAAAACGTTGTTGTTGCTCCAGGAAATATCCTACCTGACAGCAACATTTCAAAAAAAAAAAAAAGACACCGTTTTCTAAAAAATGGTACTTTCAACCCACACATCAGCAGCACCGTTTTCTCTGTATCTACAGCATCGATGCCAAACATATACATTAGTCGAGTGGTTACGTTTATGACATCGGTTGCTTGGGTATAGTATCATGCCTTTTAAGTATACCCTTTGAAAATCAAGGGTTTATTTTTATTTTTTTATTTTAGTCTCTTTAAAAATCAAGGGTTTTTTATTAATTTTTGGATTAATCACTTATATATACCCACGTGACATAAACAATCCCTCTCTAGATGAAACATTAAGGATCGTTTATAGTTATCATTAATTTTTTTTTTATAAATTTCAATTCTCAATTTTACCCTTCTAATTTGAAAACATTGTTGATCTATTCTTCAAACTTCTAAACCAAATTTTCTTTACTTCTTGCTCTTCTTCTTTCCGCTGCTGCAACCTAAAACTTGCTCACCCCCAACCTCTGTTCGAAGTTCGAACACCAAAGATGATATCTCACCGCCGCTCCTCATCTCTCCCTCTCTCCTCCCACTTCTCCCACCATTTTGCATATTACTTTATCACACTAACTACTCAGTTTGGAAGGAGAGTGTGTAAAACCTTATATTTTGCATTGTTTTGTATGTATTTTTATTGTATATATTTGTATTTGTACTTTTTCTAAATTGAGCCCAATTGTCATGAAAAAAAAGAAAAAAATCACAATGTTTTTAGTTGCTGACAAGCTTGTGAACCTCTTTTAGTTTTTATGCTCTCTTTTACCCTCTTTTTTCTATTCTTTGGGGTCTAGAATGATTCTCCCTGTCCTGTCTTTCTTAAGCGCATGTAAGAGAATAACAAAATTACCCTTTTGTCCTCTTGTTTCTTTCTGCAATTCATTTTATTGCTTTCCAATTCTTTAAATTCCAAGGGGTGTTCGTCTTTTGGATTTTGAGAGGAGGAAATTTGGTCAATGAAATTCATCAAGAAATCCATGTGTACCTGATGAAGGGAAATTTGGCCCGATCTCGCGATCGCCCGACACGTGGCAAAGGCAAGCAGCTCGGGACAGTAGAGCACCCAAAGCGAACATCGGAAGCAAGTCCAAACTCACTACCGAGCCCGAACTCCAGACCGCTGTACTTAGTCCAAGCTCTTCGTTAAGAGTGAGCTCCCTGTCAAAGGTCCGAGCTCCCTAAAACCCGAGCTCCCAAAGTTCGAGCTCAGTACTAGGAGCCCGAGCTCCCTAAGTAAGAACCCGAGCTCCCTAAAATCCGAGCTCCCTACTAGGACACCGAGCTCCCTGTTAAGAGCGAGCTCCCTGTTAAGGGTCCGAGCTCCCTAAGAGAACCCAAGCTCCCTAAGTCCGAACTCCCTACTAGGACCCCGAGCTCCCAATTAAGAGCGAGCTCCCTGTTAAGGGTCCGAGCTCCCCAAGAACCCGAGTTCCCTAAGTCCGAGCTCCCTACTAGGAGCCCGAGCTCCCTGTTAAGACCGAGCTCCCTGTTAAGGGTCCGAGCTCCCCAAGTAAGAACCCGAGTTCCCTAAAAACCGAGTTCCCTAAGTCCGAGCTCCCTACTAGGACCCC